TTGATTGATTGATTGATTGATTGATTGATTGATTGATTGATTGATTGATTGATTGATTGATTGATTGATTGATTGATTGATTGATTGATTGATTGATTAGAAAGAAAAAAAACAAAAAAGGCGGAGGGGAGGGGAGCCAGCCGGTTGATTGAAAAAAGAAAAAAAAAGACGGAGGGGAGGGGAATCAGCCTCTACCCCGACGTTGTTTGTCCTTCTCTCGTGCTCCTCCTCCTCCTCCTTCTCCTCCTCCTCTTCCTCCTCCTCCATCAACTCTTTCTCCTCCTCCTCCTCCTCCCCTCTCCTCATCCATTGCGTCTTTCTCCTCCTCCTTCTCGTGCTCCTCTTCTCCCTTCATTGCCTCCTCCTCCTCTTCCTCCTCCTTGTCCTCCTCCTCCTCCTCCTCCTCTTCCTCTTCCTCTTCCTCTTCCTCTTCCTCTTCCTCCTCCTCCTCCTCCTCCTCCCCCTCCTCCTTTTCCACCTCCTGCTCGTCTCCTTCCTCCTCCATCGCCTCTTCTACCTCCCGCTTGTTTTCCTCCTCCTCCATCACCTCCTCCTCCTCCTCCCCCTCCTCTTCCACCTCCTACTCGTCTTTCATCTCCTCCTCGTCCTCCTCCGTCTCGCCCTGCTCCTGACCCTAATTTTTTTTAAAAAATCAATCAATCAATCAATCAATCAATCATTCAAGATCCGTCGATTTCGACGAATTTTTATTCAATAAAGATCCGTCGAAATCGATGGATCTTGAATGATTAATTGATTGATTGATTGTTTTTTTAAAAAAAAGTAGGGTCGGGAGCAGGGTGAGACGGAACACGAGGATGTAATGACCCTCAGTCGCCGTTCTTCCCCCGATCTTTTTTTTTCGGGAAAATTAGGGCGCAGTTATGGTTTTCAGCTTTGAATGTGTTTTAGTCACGATTTCGCGTATGTTGCTTTAAAGCAAGGAAAATCGTGTATGTATACAACCTAGCTTTAGGATTGGGTGGGGATGTGCTGTATTCGAGGGATGACTGAACTGCATTTTAGTTTTGAAAATGTGACTCACGAGGAGGAGGAGGAGGAAGATGAAGAGTAGTAGGAGGAAATGAGGTGGCAAAGGAGGAGGAGGAGGAGGAGGAGATGGAGGAGGAGGATGGAGAGGCGATGGAGGAGGACAAAGAGGAAGAGGAGGACAAGGCGGAAGACGAAGAGGAAAACGAGGAAGAAAACGAGGAGGAAAACGAGGAGGAAAACGAGGAGGAAAATGAGGAGGAAAACGAGGAGGAAAAGGATGGGGCGGACGAGGAAGAGGAGGAGGAGGAAGAGGAGGAAGAGGAGGAAGAGGAGGAGGAGGAGGAGGAAGAGGAGGAAGAGGAAGAAGAGGAGGAAGATGAGGAAGAGGAGGAGGAGGAGGAGGAAGAAGAAGAGGAGGAGGAGGAGGAAGATGAGGAGGAAGAGGAGGAGGAAGACGAAGAATAGGAGGAGGAGAAAGAGGAGATGATGACGAAAGGGAGGAGGATGAAGAAGAGATTCGAAGGAGGAGGAGAGGAGGAGAGGAGGAGGGAGGGGGCCAGCGAGGAGGAGGACAAAGGGGGGTCGGGGGGGGGAGAGGGCGCCGAGTCAGGGGAGCGAGAGGCAGATTGTCTCGCCTCAACCCCCCCTCACCCGCTGAGCAGCCCCCTAACCAACTTTTTCTTTTTTTTCCCTAAATTAATCAATCAATCAATCAATCAATCAATCAATCAATCAATCAAACAAACAAACAATCTTCGAAATGTGAGGGGGGACACTATAATGGATATTCAATGAGTTTTTCACAAAAAACTCCCATATTTGAACCTATGGCAGCCCTATGTAAGCTTAAAAAAAAAATAATAATAATAAATAAATAAATAAATAAATAAATAAATAAAATAAAATTTTTTTTGGGCATTTTCCAGTTTATCCGGAATTCCGGATAAACTAGATGCCGGATAAAGCGGCCAGGTATTCCGGTCGTTTAATCCGTCCGAAAGTGATAAACAACTTAGATAATATATAATCGAACCCAAAAATCAGGGGTCTATCGATTAGAGACCGTCAGTGCAAAGGAGGAGCACTAGCTGATGACCTACTTACAATTTGTTCTAACTCCACTGAGGACCTGACAGAACTGTGAACTACCCTTCTAACATTCTCTGACGCATCTGAGGCATCTGTGAACTGGAACAAATCGGTATACATCCTACCATCAACATATGAGTTAGCAGTCTCATGCGGTATGAAAAGATTACCGGCAGACGCAGCGGAACGCTCCTTAGGTGTCCAAATCTCACTGGCAAAAACGACGCAGATACAAGATGCAATATTGATAGAGAAAGTTGCTGCAAGCATGAACAGACTGGTAAACACTATGCCACTTTCACTATTTGGCAGGGCATTGGTGATCACCATCATGTCCTTCTCCCAACTGTGGTTCGTGGGGGGAATCAGAGGCCTGGGAGCTGAGGCATACAAGATCATCAGGCGTAACGCGGCGAGACAACTGTGGAAACCATCGGCGGAACAAGGAGAATCATTTATCACAAAAGCCGCTTGGAAATCGGTGTGCATGCTTAGAGATGAGGGGGGACTAGGAATTTTGGACCCTGAAGATCAAATTGCAGCCCTCCTAGGCAAGTGGCTAATCAGAGCTGCACTTGATGTAGACGCAAAGAATTGGGTGATGATGGCGGAACAGATTATAGGAGACAACTGGAATCTGAGCCGACCATCAGACGTATGGTTGTGCGCTATGCTTCCCTCGTATGCCAGACGAAAGCCCAATTCAGAATTATGGGCAAACATCTGGGCAGCATGGGAGAAAATTAAACCACGTGACCTAACCAAACCCGTATCCAGAAGTGAAATCATACGTCAACCACTGTTTGAAAATTCGAGAATTTTAGACCAATGGGGTAACCCCTTCCTGGCCTCAAATGCTAGCGCGGTCTTTGGGAGAAAATGGATAGAGAAAGGTGTCCTGCGGGTGGAGGATCTTTGGGACGAACAGTCCCTAGATTGGCTCAGCGAACAGGACCTGAGGGGAAAGCTAGGAAGAGTTGCCCTGGTCGAGCAGCGTAGATCCCACCTTATAGAAGCTATACCAGAAGAATGGAAAAATCGCATTTTCATGAGGAAAGCAGACCCCCCCGGCCTGTGGTATAAACCGGAGAGGGAATTGGCTTGCAATGTCCTGTGGAAAGTAGTAGAAGTGGATGCTGAGTTTGTACGTAAAATTGAAGAATGGGAAATTGTACAAACGACTGGCCAAGATAAGTTTTGCTCTCTTAAATTTAAGGAAAACTTTAAATGGCCAGCTAGCTGGACAGCAACGGGGGTACGAGTTGTTGAAACCATCCAAGCTGGGAGAGTTACACTGCTATCCAACTCACGACGTACTCCGATTTCTGAGCTTAAGTTAGACCTGATGAGCGCAAGCTGGAATGATAAGCGGGATAAGCAGACCTCACTGGATCAATACACGGCTAAAGTAGGTCTCAAACAGATTCAAGCTATAAAGTACATCACACCGACAGAACTGGCGTTGAAACGACTCAAGTTACTCAACCCATCTACAACTGCTTCAAACCAGTCTGCTGAAATTTACCGATACTCGTGTCTGCTACCTTCCCAGAAGCAAGGTAGTCTACTGTGGCTACAGATGTTACAAGTTGTACCATCCGCTGTGTGGCTGTTGGAGAAAAAGGTAAATGTTCAATCCAAATGTACTCGCTGCAACTGGGCTTGGGAATCCACAAAGCATCTGTGGATCACATGCCCTTTTTCCGCTGGCATTTGGGGTTGGTGGCACTCCGTCTGGAAAAGGATTGCAGGTACAGATTTCAAATGGACTGAAGCGTGGATCCTTCTTGGGCTACTCCCAACAGAGTTTGGCCCCTGCCAGGGCCTGGGCTACATTGCTCAGGTCACCCGAGCCATTATCTACTGGGAGCTGTGGCTAAGCAGAAATGCAGCAGTCGTCAAGGGTGAAAAGCCAGTCTTTCTGGCCCTAAAGGCTGCAATCCGTTTAAGCATACGAAGAACCATCTGGGCAGACTGGCACCGCAAAGTTCAACAAGCATCCTCGAGTGACAAAGGCAAGCTGTGGTTCCGGAAGACTTGGTGTATGAACAATGTGCTCGCAAGCATCAACGACCAAGGTAAGTTAAAAATGGCAACGTGGCTCTGGTCTGAGCCGCAGGCCATATTGCCCCAATTGTAAAACTGGTAGACTGTAGTAGTCTAAATCTAGCCTTG